TTTGTAATGGAAAAGTTTGAAAAGAAAACGAGTCTGCAAGATGGATTTGAATTTGTTTTGTGAGTAATGAGGACATGACCAGAGTTGAAGTTGTTTACAAGAATTTAGATCTTTGTGAATGTTATTTTGATTAAGAAAATGGAAGGTTTCATGATAATTGGAGGACTTACTATTGCATTTTATGTTTTCACATATTGTGAGGTTTTGAATGTAAAAGAATTGAAGGCAATTGAATTGAAAACTGCTTCAACTCTGGACAAGGATGAATTTCAAAAAAAGTTTTTCTTTAATTTATTTGTTTTCGAGTTTGTGAGAATTTTATGGAAATTTATTTTTGAAGCATAAACTTTTTGCATAAAAGATAAACACGTGGTGGGGTCATACACTTATGACGTTCTTAAAACAATGTGATTTCAGGGGATTTCTCATAAAAAATTATAAATTATTTTTTTGAGATAAGAAACTCGGGTTTTTAACTCAACTTAGCGGCATAGCCAGAAATTATTTTAAGGGACGAATGGTTATTTTTTTTATTGGATTGAAACATTTCAAAGGGTGTTTAAGGATTTTTCTCTCTAAGCTCCGAAGAAAATTTAAGAAAATTATTGATTGTGAAGGTTTTGACTTCCAAACCAGGAGCGTAGTCTGACCATAATGTTAAAAATAAATAAAATCTTCTCTATTCGATTTTTAAGAGGTAATTTTATGAAATTTCAATCTCAAGAGAGGATGTCCGGGCACCTATAGACCCCCCTTGCTATGCTCCTGCTCTAAACTCCCTGGTTCCTTGTTTTGAATTATTTCTAATACATCTGATACCATGAAGTTAAAAGCCCCAACTTTATGAAGATTTCTCAAATCAAATTATCTTGTTAAATCTTGAATTTGCCATTTTTATTTGGTAAGTTACTTGAAAATTATCCAAAATGATAAAGAGTGGAAAAAAAAAATATAATTTCTGTAATGTTAAAAAGTTTGCATCCAGCAAATAAGATAGCTCGTGTTGAGCTTGTGCACATGTATATCATAATCATGTCCTACATTCTATCGGATGTAAAATGAGACAGCATTTCCATTTTATTTCCTGAATAGCTATTTATATCTTTGTAATATTGTACTTACTAGTTTTTCAAGTTGAATATATTTCCGATTTTATATCAATTTGAATGGAATTATATTTAATTCAGTATGATTTTCAAAGTCGGAATAATAAGAAACTTATCTTATATTAATAGAATGAGAAATGAAGAATATTACTAAGTTATCGAGATACTATATTTCAATCCTTCCATGGAAAATAATTATCAAGTGAGTAGATAAAGTTTATGTGTGGGTGGATGTGAATAAATTGGAAAAGAATGGAAACAAAATTGATAATTGAATTTACTGTTGCCATTGCTCTTTCTTACTATAGATAAAATGAACTGCAATGTAGATCCGTATTACATAGACTTAAAAAATATTGTAGAGCAATTAAATGCGAATAGAGAAAGTTTCAAGTGCAAAGTTTTCTTGAAGAATTATTTTGTTTTTGTCATTTTGGGGAGATTTGATGTGTTTGATTACAAAGTTAGTACTGGGGGTCCTCGATTTGAGTAGATTCGATTTGAGTAACGAATATTAATGAATAGAAAATTTAAAAAAATTTTGTAACGGACATTTTTCACACAAAAAGTAAATAATTCGATTTGAGTAGATTCGATTTGAATAGGATTTTTCTGGAACAAAACACCTACTCAAATCGAGGACCCCCAGTATTGAATTGACTTTCATGTTTCTTTATGATGTAGCTAGGAGTTGGTCTTACGAGATCTGGATGTGGTTCATTAATGGGGCTGAAGACAATCCCCATTTTGATTTTTAACTTCGATCTTAGACCAGAATGAACTCTGGAATATCAAGCTAATAAACTTGAAGTTTTGAGGGCAAGTTTGTAGGAACAATTTACAACTTAAAGTATCACCTGTCTCAAACACTAAAGTCCGTAACACCTTTCAACCTCACTTACTTGATAATTCCATCAAAATCCAAATAAATGCGCTCATTTTCTGAACTTTAATATCATCAGAATCATTCCAAACTAGTTATTTTGCTACAACCAACACAAAATGATAAAACTTAATTTTACGATTCATAAAACTTTAATTGTGTATAAAGGAACAACGAATAGAAGAAGATACGGAGGAACATTTGGGAGTTCTCATAATATGAAATTTTGTAGGGCGAAATATACAAATAAATAAGGATGAAATGGAATGTTTGGTATGTGAGTGGCATAAACATGCCTTTTATGTTTTTTTTTCTTTTTTCCATACATGTGACAAAAGCAAGCTTCTCGTCTATAAAGTTTTTGTCTCGTACGTAAAAAAAAAAAACAAATTGTTAATTGAGGCAGAAAATTGGTCAGCAGTTCTTTTTGGCAAGCTTTTATAATTAATTAATATTGGTAAATTGAGTTTAGAATAATTATGGTAATTAATGATTATGAGGTCATACAGCATTGAAAGTTATGGAATGTATTGAAGTTTCTGCTGACTTTTGAGTTTTTGTCAAAGTTTCGGGATAGTTTATTCCACTTTTGCAGGTATTTTTATTACGACTCTATAAGATCCATGACAATAATCTTAATTCCGACTCAGAGTTCAACTTAAGCTGCAATCTCTCAATCTACTAACAACATCCATCCTCTATCAATTGAAGCTATACATACAAAAAAATTCTGCAATCTCTGCATCAAAATCGGAATCATTAAATCCTTTTCATGTTCCAATTTAACGCTTCTAATGTGAAATGTATGTTCCTCCATGATTCATGCCTTTGAGCATCAGCAAAAACTTTTCTCTTAATCAACATTTATTTTCCTTTTCTTTTGCTGCTTTTCGAATAGTTTAGATCAAGTTTAGTTATTGCTTTTTGATTGAAATAAGAAGATTTATTTTGGATTGAATTGATTATTTTTTTTTTGGTGTCTATTCGGCTTGTTTGAGTTAGGGATTGTTATTTAAAGATGGAATTGAAGTTTTAGATTCTGAAGATATTTATTTTAGAGGTGTTCTGGTTATGCATTGATTCTTTTGTAACACTCAGGTGTTGTACATTCAGACATAGGAGATCCAATGTTCATCTGACTATTGATCAACTCTGCTCAAAAATCCACATCTACTACACATCATAAATTCTTTACCAGGCGCGTAGCCATGGGGGGGGGGGGGGGGGGGGGGGGATTTGGGACAAATCCCACGACGTTTACAGAAATTTCTTCATTTTGCTAGGAGTTTTATGAAAAAATCATAAAAATCCCCCCCTTCCCTCTGAATTTTCCATATAAATTTATTTTGTCCCCCCCCCCCCCTCTTTAAATTCCTGGCTACTCTCCTGTTTTTTACCATTAATGCCAGAACAGAGTAGCTTTAATGAGTCTCTACCCAAAAAAAGAAACTCGTGCTTTATCGCCTTTAAATCACAAAATTTATCATAAAAAATGTCATGCTGAGTATTAAAACAATTCACAAATCCTCAAAAGCTAAACAACCACGTCTCAAAAAACGCGCCATAAATACGAAACAGAAAAATCGTTCCAATATTTTACATGAAGCACATGACACGACACAACTCATATCATTTTCAATCATTCAATATCACAAAAAATTCGATTGAATGCCAAAAATATTCGCCTAGAATGAAAAAGGGACTTTTTTTTATGTATCAGCAAAAATGCACGTTCTGTCAACAAAAAAAGAAAGGCATGGAAAAAAATATGAAAGCACAGCATGTGAAAATGTAAATCAATCAGATACACACATTGGAGGTATCTGTTCCATATCGTTGAAGTTTTGTATTGTAATACAATGCTTTATTTATGACGAGTATCACGATAGCTGGGAACTTTATGTGTGTTTGAAGAATCTTAGTTTTGATAAATATTGTCAAAAGCTCTTGCGCTATATTGATGCTTCACAAGTGTTTACGAATGGAAATAAATTTACGGCATGGCATATTTTTTTCCTCATTCAATTGTGTGCAAATTGAGTGATGTGAATGATATGGATACGCGAAAAACGTAGGAGATTGATGATTTCCAGATTTTCTGGATCTGGTTCTGGATTCATTGCATAAATATTTATCAAACATCATAAGACATCGACTCAATTCCTTATCTCTTTAAATATTCATTGAGTCCATAGTTTTTAAGGAACAAAAGTTGAATAATACTCAATAAAAACGTGTAAGCACTACTTCCTCTTTCTACGTCTTTTCCTTTTATAAATGCACGACACGTAATTCCTATTCTTTAACATTTAAACATGTGAATTAATGCAACAATAATTTACATCCTAAAAGGTCTACTTAACATTCATAAAAATTACAATGTGAAAGTATTCTTGTGTAGTCCAAATAATAGGAAAACAACAGATGCCTTACAACTGGAAATAAAATACTTTTTGTTCTCGTGTGATACTATTTACATAGAACATGACAGAGTTGTTGGAAGATTTATAATGTCGTACTTTAAGGAATTGCGTGTGATTTCGTGCAACTCTAGACTCAGATAAGTTCATTGAACTTAATTCTCATTCTAGAAGCCTTAGAATAAGGCAGAGCTCAAAATCGATGAAATTTTGTATGGAGTCGGCTCCGCCATACAAAATCGATGAAAATCTCTTAGCTCTGGAATAAGGTTACAGAACTAATCAATCACATTTCGATAATTTTGACCAGTTCCGCATTCTGACTTCAACCAAAGTCACCAACTCTGCAATAATCCGACTCTTTGTTTTAACATTTTTCAAACATTTTGTTGTTTCTCATTGTTTAATGTAAAAAGTTTGTTCTTAGGGACTATTTATAGCCATTGTAAATGCCTGTATGAGACTTTTATAGAGGAAATATTTTTTTTTTGTAAAATTTAATGAATTCAACAGATTAAAATTTTATGATTGAGAAAATTTATGACGGAAAAGAATCTTTTTGGGCATTTAAAACTTGTTCCTTGGTTTTGCATTGCCTTAATTTTATTTATTTAAAAACTTTAAAAAATTCAGCTATTAGTTCAATTACAACTCATTTGCGTTTTTGTTGACCAAACCATATCCTTTGAGTTAAAGGCATTCATCACCAAATTTCCATCATCTTGTAGCTTCAATGATGCTTTATTGTTACCAACTGTATTTGATGCCCAAGTGTATCTCCCATTTGGTGCATAAGTCACAAAATTTCCATCTTCTTGCATACAAGCTTTGAATGTTCCTTTATCTTGAGTATTTGTAAACCACATAACTTTAGCATCTGAAACGCGATATAAGACTAAGTTCCCGTCATACTGCATCATCAAAGCAAAACATTTATTTGGCGAAACTATTTTCTGTCCAGTCGCTAAGCATTCATTGTAGTTAATATAGTCGTAAGATAGGCTTGATGTGATCAGCATTAGAAATGGAAGAAGGTTTTTGAACATTTTATGGTTTTTAAAAATAGCTAGGTTGATTTATTCTACAAAACTGATGATAATCACAACTTTTTACAGACTGTAACTTTATATTTTAATCTCAGAATACAGGAACGAAATGAGAAGCTGTTATCAATAAACTTAATTAAAGTAATCAATGAAGTGAGGAAGTAAATGACTCTAGATTGTTACGCCAGATGTATTCAATCACTAAAGTTCACAAACATTCAATTAATTGGCTAGAAAATTGATTAAAATGTGTTTAATTTGCGTTTTTTAAATCTAATAATATCAGCAAAGTTACAAACTTACAGTTCAATTCAATTTCTTACTCAACGCAAGTGCTAGACTTTTAAGATTCGTAAACGACTTCCAGTGGATTTTTGACTCGAGTTAACAAAATGCAAAAGACATTAATTATTGCAATTCTATTAATCACATTTGTGTCAGCAAGGGATACACTTAAAGGTACAGATTGTTTACCATACGGAAGTTCATTAAGATCTGACAATAATTGCTTCAGTTTGGAACTTCAATTTGATGGAAACTTAGTATTGTATCGAGATTATGATGCACGAGTTTTATGGAGAAGTAATACTCAAGGATCTGGAGCTAATCGTCTTTGCATGCAGAGCGATGGAAATTTAGTAATTTATACGAAGGATAATCAGCCAAAATGGAGTACCCAAACTCAAGGAAGAATATCTTGGTTTAAATTACAAGATGATGGAATCGCAGTTCTCTTAAGCAAATATCAAAATGGTCAGGATGAAGTTCGATGGTCAACTCGAACACAAGGAACAAGTTGTTATGATTGAATACATTTATGCATTAATTATGATTCTGTCAATCAGCAATAAATATTTATTACAATCTATTTTTGCTTAGGGGCCATTCACTTATGACGTCCAGAGGGGGAGGGGGGGGGGGGGTCAGCAAGAAAAGAACAATAGAAATTCCTGGAAATCTATTGTTCTTTTTAAAAAATGACCGTTAATTTCGGACGTCATAAGTGAACGACCCCTTATGAATATATCCAAAAAATTCATTGTAAATAAGTATAAAAATAGAAAGCTACAAAAATCTACACAATAAAATATAAATATCAAAAATAAGTGGCATTTCTCACGAAATTATTGATTGTTGTCTAGCAATTTGTCACAGTTCTACTAGACCATAAAGAACGAGGTGAATTCCAAGCATACATGACTAAATTCCCATCATTCTGCATTACTATTGAGGATCCTTCATTTTTGGTTGTCCTTGATGACCATGTAATTTTATTGTGACAATCATAGGCAACAAAATTTCCATCTCCTTGCATACATGCTCGATTTGTACATGTTCTTGCTGTTTTAGTTCCCCACAAACTCTTCCCATTCGATTCACGATAAATAACAAGATTTCCATCTTCCTGCATAATCAGCTTAAAGCATCCGTTTGTCGAAATTAATGATTGGCCCTGAAAAAGGCATTCGTTCGGATTAAGGCGGTCTTTTGCAGTAATTACTGTGATTAGCAGAAAAGCAATTAAAAGTTTTTGAATCATTTTTGGTATGTTGAAGAAATCACACAACGTTTGAGGTACAATCCAATTAAGTTGTTGTTTTCTTGTTAACTGTTTACTTATTAATGACTTGACATGAATTGAAATATTGACTATAAATACCTGAAAAGGGTATTACTAAAGCTTGTTAAGCGTAAAGGCAGACACGTGTTTTGTAATAGAAAATAAAGAAGAATATTGTGTCATTTTGGATACTCGATAAGAAATCGATCGACCTATATCGATATGTGGAGGAAGTTGTCATATGTAAATAGGTCAGCCACCTGATAATGATTATTTATTGTTTTAAAGATCAATCAATTTTAACTTTAGTGCTCGAATGTAATTTTTCAAAGTCAAAAATTAATTGCCATGGAACTACCATTAAAGTCTCTCGGCTGCTTGAGCTCCATTTGCATACAATTCTGACTCTTCCATGTCTAATTGAACTTCCTTCAACCAATTGCCTTATCATCAACACTCTGATAAATCATACACATGTTAAGCCAATTAAAACTTCAAAAAGTGTCGACAAAAAAAAGAAGTTTTTATCACAAAATATGTTCAACAGCAGCAGTAGCCAAAAAAAAGAAGAAAATATGAAAACATTGCATTCAACACACTTTTTCTATCAATCTACATGTCGCAATAAATATATCATGAAGTCTATGAGCTCAACGCATGCAATCTCACTCGTGTCATAATGAAGTGCTGAAAGTTCATATTAAATACAACAAAAGCATTCATTTTTAGCACGTTATAATTCCTACTTCTTATCTCTACTGAGAGTTGATGTGTTTAGTGAACGAGAACACAGCATGCGTTTTGTATTGTTTCTGTTCTCTATGTCCTAGATAATTTATAGTTATGTCACATTCATTTCTGCAATTATTACAGTTTCAGAATGGTGTGAAGGGTTGGAATGGATGTAAAGATTGTGAGTTTTATGGAGGAAATTTTAATTAAATTGGATTTTTTGTTGTGGATGTGATTCGTTACTTGAAAGCTTAATTGACTTGGATTTATATCTGCATGAATATTTAATAAGCTATAAAATATCATCTAGAACTTTCAACTTTATGGACCATGTTTCTGTCATGACCATATAATAGAAGGCTGTTAGCATCACTTTAGGTACCTTAAATTCGTAAAAAAATACAAATTTCCCAACAAAATTTTTAAAACGTGAATCCTGACTTAATTCTGATTTTTGACTGAAATCAAAAACTGAAAACCCTAGATAACTCTTACTTTGTATCAAAAACTCACATATCTTGATATCACTTTTCATCCATTACTCCAAAGATGATAAATGAATGACATAGCAATTGAAAAGAAGATTACAGAGTGAAGCTACACAGTTAATTAATCATAAAATCATAATACCTCACTCGAATAATATTTCCGAATACTTTCATGCATACACAAACATTTTTATGTTTATTCTTCTCATTTCGTATGTAAAATAAATCGATATTCTTGATAATTAATTACAGATACGGTAGATGATTATGTGCTAAAGTAAGCAATTCAATATGAGTGTAATTAATATTTTCTGTTCAATCATTTTGCCTGAACCCGAGCTTTATAACTTTATTTGGATGTGTTCAATCTGTATAGACACAGTTTAAGATAACATTCTGCTAAGCTTTAAAGCAACCAAAGATTTATAAGAGTTTAGTGCGATCGAAAATCATAAAAGACTAGATCAGGATCCTAGTTCGATTCCCACTCGATTCAACTTCTTAACAAGCTACAAATAAGTTATAAAATTGCTTAGACTATTTTCAATATAAATCCGTAATTTTAGCACTGCTCTTAGGTATATAGACATGAAATAATCATTGTGATAATTCTGTGAAAATAAGGATAAAGAAAATTAATGAGAAAGTATTTATAAGGAAATTTCAGTCAAGCATTATCAAGTATCTGCTCAAGATACACTCAAATATAATCTCAAGAGCTTCTTATTCAGTCGTCTGTTGCTTATGATGAATCTCAATTTGTACAGCTGAATGTCATTGTTCTGAAAATGAGTAATAGAAAGTCTTACAGATGCCAATGTTCCAGAAAATTATCAAGTCTATAATCGCTTCTTAGACATAAGTCTGACGTCAATAAATTTCGATGTTCTTTGTTTCGTAAGAAGGAACTGACACAACAAAACACATGTGTGACATCAAGATTGAATGCTTGTCAAGAGGTGATTGACAAGATGTGAATAAACTTTTTATTGTAGAAATTTCGGTTTAAAGCTTTTGGGGTTGTTCATAAATGACATTTATTGATTTTTTAAAACCAAATTCGTTGACAGAAGTTAGACATCATTTATGAATATCCCCTTAAAGAGTTTGAGGATTTTTCCAACAGATTGACTAGATTTATTCAAAACTTGATGAATAAATTGAAATAATTAATAAATAATCATATTCATCTCTTTAAGTCTCTCAAAAATCCATTGACTTTAGCTAGCTTGTTTATCAAAATCATATCCATTCTCATGTACGCTTCATAACAACATCACATAATATGAAACTCAATTAACGCCATATTCAATCTCATATAACATAATATACATAAATTCACACAATGATTCGCATTATTAAATTATTCGCCTAATTTTCATTGTACAATAAATGGCTTGAAACATGAAACTTTAATGTGAGGCACTTAATTTATTATCCTCATAACATATATGAGCTTTATAAAGTTTTCATGCACATGAACAATTTGCTCTTTTGACTTTTTTGTTTTAAAGTTTTTAGAATAAAATGCTCAAGAATGTTTTTAATTTTTTTGGGATCAGGTTTTTTATGAAATTTGTGACCTCAAGAAATGTGTTCAGAAAATGAGGTTCTTAATTGAAGAGACCTACTCAAACCTTGAATCTACTCCTCTGGCTACGCAACTGTTCCAAACATAACCCATCCAAGTAAAGATATTCAGAAATATTTCAAAGGGGGGCTTAGGGAGTGTTGACCTCCTAGAGAACACCCCCAACTCCATTCATGTATTCAAGTTATTCTTAGAAAATATTTCAACAAACAATATTATTTCTAAACAATCCTCAATGCAGCTGTTTGCTATAAAGCATTTCTATACAGATGCAAAAACTTTCATAAAAAGTTCTTAAAAAAGTTTTCTTTGAATTTTTTCACATTCTTTATTTGAGGAAGAGAAGCTTGCGGAAAAATCAATAAAGGAAATTAATTAGCAATTCTTCAAAGTTTTTGATATACAATGAAAAGTTTTGATGGTTACGGTTGCATGTGGTGTGCTGAGTAATCGAAATTGAGCTTTCAGAATGAAAGTTTCAACCAGAGCTCGAATTCGAATCGAGATTTTCATCGATTTTGTATGGCGGAGTTGACTTCGAGTTGACTCGACTCTATACAAAATTTCATCAACTTCGAGCTCTGGTTTGAACCAGCGAGTGAGGGAGGATCTTCTGTTCTCTTGTGGAGGTGTCTTTGTCACAAATTTTGGTTTGAATATTTGAAAATTTATCAAAGTAATGCGAATAATATGAGAAATATAACCTCAAAAATTCGGAAAACTTTAAATTCCCACAAACTCAAAACCCCAACCATAATAATTAAAACAATCCTCAAAAATTCTCGTGAAGTAGAACTGATAATCAGTAAAATTAATTACAATTTCGTGTAATCAAATAAATCACGGAAACCAATGTGACATGCAATATTTGTAATCAGCTTGGCACGTGTTATTTCGCTTGTTTTGAGATGGAAATTGTTCGGGAATTTTGTTGGATATATTTGAAGATAAATTTACATTGTTTCAGGTTACAGATTTAATACTAAAATGTGCTATAAAAATTGATCAGAATTCGCATTTATCACAAGTTGTAGGAATTTTTCAAAATACGTGATTTTATCAACCGCAAACTAAAAAGCCACACGATGGAAAATGTAGCATCAAAATTGATATTTGAGCTCCATAAATCATTCGTTTCCAAATTTTGATGGCAATATTCGCAAATTGTAATATCAAGAATATGTGTCACATTCCACAAAACTTATTTATTTTTAGCATCGACATTTTATTTTAAGCTGTCCTTTGTGAAATACAATAATGCTGTATATTTGCATTATCCACTCCTACTCACAAGTAAAACTTTCATTCAAAATTCATTTTTCATCGTTATCTTTGTCATGTTTCAACTTCTTTCCTACGTCAACAGCTTTTAAACACAAAATTCTCATATCAATTCCATTAATTCCGCAATTTTTCTTGTTATTTTCTTGTTTATGAATTGAGACTTATTGTACAGTTTGCGGAAAGAAGCAGTAAGAAGGAAGGATTAAAAGGAACAAAAGAAGCTATCGTCGATTAAGATTGCAATTCCTTTAGCTCATTACACCATGTAGGAGCACATAACTTTTTTGAAACCTTTACATTTGAGTAAAAATCATAACTACTAAAGCTCAAGTACAAGGTCAACCTTCCAAACCTCGATGTTCTTCTGTTATGTAAACATTTAAGCTAACTATTAAGGAGCCGTTCACTTATTACGTTACCCAAAAAAACTACTTTTTTCACCCCCCCTCCCCCTTGTTACAATATGTTACAACCCCCACCCCCCCCCCCCTGAACGTTCATATTTTATTTTATCATTAAAAAGGTGGAAAATTTTAAAAAAATGTTTTTGGTGTGAATTTGTAAACAAATTTTTTTCGTGAACTTTTTTTTAAAAGACAGACGACAGTTACATACTTCTTGACACCCCCTCTATGTTACATTTTGTTACAATTTTTCAAACCCCCCCTACCCCCAAAATGCAAACGAAGTGAACGGCCCCTTATTAATGTTACCTTTTTTGACTTTTAAATATTCCTTTGTGCTTAATAAAATTTTAATAATATTTTGTCGTTATGACAATTATGATGCTGATGATGTCGATGGTATTTGGTAACTCTGGTAATTTAAAATCCTGACGTAAGTTAAAAAATGAAATTTGACGTAAAATCAGGTTTTGGTGGTGCAAGAATTTTGAGTTTGAGTTATAGTGACGTCAAGTTCCAATTGACAATATTTCATCAAATTCTTAACTTGCTAGGCTAAAATGAGCTAGATAGCTCCTCTGTGATTTGCACAATCCACAAGTTGAACAAGATGCTGAGTAAGAACTCCACTTTTAATATAACAAATAGGTTCCATCTCAGAAACTGAATGAACCTCAAGTATTTTTCAATAATTGATTTTTTTCAACAGAATATCTTACAAGGTCAATGTAATTCCATTCAAAAAAAGCACAGCAATTATATCCCACTCGTATGTAGACATTATTGCATGCAATAACCAGAAAGCCTCATGAAAACAAATTGACAATACTAGAATAAGTAAGCATATATGGAACTAAAATGAGTGGGAATAAAGTGCGTTTGAGCATAAAAAGTTATTGTCCTGTATCATTCTTACATCCTACATAAATTCCCATCTTAGACTTAATTTTTCTTTATTGTTTGTGACAGAAAAGTGTGAGTTAAGGAAGAATTTCAAATAAAAAAAGCCACAAAGAGGAAGAAATAAGACGAACAAAAGTGAAGGAAGTGGAAATCATAAAGCATGATGATTCACTCAATTAGTACGAGAAAGACATGAAAAATATAACAGAACGAAATAACGAGACGAGGGATTTTTTTGAGTAAAATTAAAGAGGACGGAATATTTTTCTTTATTTTGTAGATTTCCTATCCATTTATTGAGATGAAAATAAATAGGCTTTGGGCGGGTGGGGGACAGTTGAAAATGATGTTCATTATTGTAGATCTGGCTTGAATCATTGTGACAAATGAAAAATCTCTAAAACCTTCTTTTTTCGTCATTTCTAAACTTCCCTTCTAGCTTTTTAAGATACAAATCCTTAAAGAAGACGAAATGAAATCTTCAAAAAAAACGCAAATAAGGAAAGACATGCAATAAAGAAAAAAAAATCTTAATTTTATGGAGTTTTTCAGTTGAAAAGGAAAGAAAAAGAAAATAAATCAAATGAGATAAGGAACATGATATCCAGCAGATTTTTTGATTTATCAACCTTTTAAGGAATTTAAGAACAAGCAATAGCTTTAAATTTAATGCACAAAAACTAATTTAAATGAATATTTTATCAAAATTTGTATTTTTGAGTATGGCTTGAATTTTTTATGACTTCAAATTGGTGGTTTGGATTGTCTCTTTAGTGACAAATTTTAGTCAACTTTAGTAAATCCTGAATATTAAGCAAAATGATTTAAAAAATCCTCTCAGCAACATTAAAATCATTCCATCTGCCTACAATAATCTGTTTAAACCAATTTGTCAAGTGTAGCATCTTGAACTCAAGCTTTAATGGACCAATTCAAGTTGTTTATATTTACCTTTAAATCTTCTTAACAATAGCAGTCTAAAGATACCGCCCACATGTTGCGGCAAACAAGCACAAGCTTTCATAAACATTAATGAGATCATTGATTACCTTATACCTGAAATTGATACTTTATTGAAGACGAAACATTTAATCTTCTTAATGAATGAAAATGATTTCGAGTTGATTTCTCTCAAGAGTCAAATTGTTCATGTAAAATTATGTTGGAATGGCAAATTAGCACATAAAATTTGAATCTTCCAGACCAATAATCTTCATTGAACATTCTTGAGCATCTAATGTTATTGAAAATTCAATTTCAATCAGGCTTAAATCAGCAATTTACATATTGCATAGCATTCATTTCAAATTGAAATTTACATTCCAGCTATGGATGGAAACAAAATCAAATCAAATGAATGAAAAGCCCAAAAAATATGCGAATAAAAAAAAGGAATTGGATTTGAGAAATGGAATGCATTTTAATACCCATGAAAGTCAATAGAATATTAAATTGCATTCTATTGCAATCTGCTTTTTTACATTCATTCAGTTAGTCAATGAATGAGTTGATGTAGATGCAGTACGAATGGGAAGATAGGGGATAAAAAAAAATCTTGGAAATTAAATTTTCCTCTCGAAACGTTAAAGCGCATCAAATGACATGGAAATTTTTTTATTCAAATATTTGTTGAGTAAGCAGTGTTGCTAAAAAGGATGCGTGGGTGGTTCATAGATCTAAGGAATTTGTGGAGGTTGTTAATATGGGTTACCGACAATTCCCCACTGTAATTTGGCCACTTTACATTTCGCCACTGACATTTCCCCACTACTACATTTTGCCACCTGTACATTTTGCCACTATTTATTTGCCCACTATTTATTTGCCCACCTGTTTTTTTCGCCACTGCTTTTTTTGCCACCTTTTATTTGGTCACTATTTATTTGCCCACCTGTTTTTTTCGCCACTGCTTTTTTTGCCACTAATCATATGGCCACAAGTTTATTTGCCCACTGATTTATTTGCCCACTAAAGCAAATGATAAAATAAAAAATTGTAAAAAATATTGAAAAAATTTTGTTAAAAAAACATGAAATTTTTAAAATTATTTTTTGGAGCATTTATGGAATAATTGGCCATATTTGGGTGTTCTGAAAAAATCATGCGACCGTACGTAAATGTGCTTGAAGGTGTAACGATATATTGAGATTTGAATAATCTCTCTTCTCTGGCTTGGACTTATCATCACTTATCCACTCTTGCTTCCTTCATTTATTTTATTCTATTTTTCCTTACTAGTTTTTATTAATTTTAATGTTTAAAAAGCTTTAAAGGTTTAATTAACTCTCAATTTACTATTTCATCATTCTATGAGAATAGAAATTAAACGTGACGTAAGGATGCTGGGTTATAAGTCCAGAGATTATAAGTCCAGGTACAAAAATCGTGCACAGAAAATTATAAGTCCAGAAAATCAAAGTCAATAAAGGTTTATAAGTCCAGATACAAATTGCACCTGGACTTAAAAACTTCACGTGTGGTTTATAATGCCAGAAAATTTAAAAATTTTACTTATAACCTCCCAGTGCGATTATAAATCCAGATACATTTTTCTGGACTTATAATCCTTGAAAATTATTTGATATTATTTTAAATTTTTTCATTTAAAGTAATTCTTCACATGAATTTTTGAAAACTTCACAAAAAGAATTCACATTTCTCTGATTTTTTTTCCTCTAAAGTACCATATAGGGTAAATTAAAATTTGCGTTTTTTGAGACTTGGAATTTTCAAACGCTTGTAACTAATCGACGAATTGACATTGTGACCTACTAATGGTCTTGAAATGTTAAGAGTCGTCGATATTTTTATTTTTGATCATGTAAAGGTTTTTGCGCTGCATCAATTCAGAGAAAATTGACATTTAAGTTTTCATTTTGAAATTTGCGCAAAAATATTTTGAAATTTGCGCACTTTTTTGATAGTAATCTTTACCTTATACTATTTAGCATCAAATTACAGCTGTACTAAAATTACAGCTGTAGATTACAGATGAACTTACGCCGTTACGTAAAAATCAATTTACAGCTGTAGTTTAATGTGTATAAGTAAAAACAGTAGTAAATATAGATGGTGTTTATAGCTTAGACAAGTGCTTAGCTGTCCTTACAGTTAATGTAATTTTTCGTAAATTCTGCTGGTTTTGACTATGATTTTACCTTTTACAAAAAGATTGAATAGAAAACAAGGTACAGTAGCGTGTAAAAATTTATAAAAATCACATTTTTCGCTCTGGATGTTAACATTTAAAATATAAATAATACAGCAGTATCTGTACCTGGAATTATAAACTGCAGGTGAGGTTTTTAAGTCCAGGTGCAATTTGTATCTGGACTTATAAACCTTTATTGACTTTGATTTTCTGGACTTATAATTTTCTGTGCACGATTTTTGTACCTGGACTTATAATCTCTGGACTTATAACCCAGCATCCTTACGTCACGTTTAATTTCTATTCTCATAGAATGATGAAATAGTAAATTGAGAGTTAATTAAACCTTTAAAGCTTTTTAAACATTAAAATTAATAAAAACTAGTAAGGAAAAATAGAATAAAATAAATGAAGGAAGCAAGAGTGGATAAGTGATGATAAGTCCAAGCCAGAGAAGAGAGATTATTCAAATCTCAATATATCGTTACACCTTCAAGCACATTTACGTACGGTCGCATGATTTTTTCAGAACACCCAAATATGGCCAATTATTCCATAAATGCTCCAAAAAATAATTTTAAAAATTTCATGTTTTTTTAACAAAATTTTTTCAATATTTTTTACAATTTTTTATTTTATCATTTGCTTTAGTGGGCAAATAAATCAGTGGGCAAATAAACTTGTGGCCATATGATTAGTGGCAAAAAAAGCAGTGGCGAAAAAAACAGGTGGGCAAATAAATAGTGACCAAATAAAAGGTGGCAAAAAAAGCAGTGGCGAAAAAAACAGGTGGGCAAATAAATAGTGGGCAAATAAATAGTGGCAAAATGTACAGGTGGCAAAATGTAGTAGTGGGGAAATGTCAGTGGCGAAATGTAAAGTGGCCAAATTACAGTGGGGAATTGTCCTACACTCGTTAATATAACTGGAAGTTGTTTGGATATTCCGTGAAGCAAATAGTTCAGTTTTAGTCCTTTTCAAAAAATTGGATCACAACTTTAAGTCCCTCTATTGAACTGACAGTTAAGATGAAATTTAAATAATTTAAATGCATATTGAGTATTCCAGGCAGTTGCATAGCCATTTTCGACCTTATAAGTCCCTTTCAGGTACACTTCTGATCAGATGCGTAGCCATGAGGGTCTTGTCCCCCCTTAAACGTTTTGAACCGCAGCGAGAGCACGACCTAAAACGCTTAACAGGGGGACAATACCCTCCTGGCTACCCACCTGCTACTGATTAAAGGTAATGTCTCAGAATTTATTTAACTAAGATAACTTCTCGACTCAAATTTTCTAATAAGCAAATCTCAAATTTTTAATATCACAGTCAAAAAGACAAGCAACAATGCTGCCTGAATAAACTGCAAGCTCAGGAAATTTAATTAAAAGTTATTTGATATAGGATGAATGAAGAGATGGAACTGTAACTGTAAATTTTAAATGAATTTTTAATTTATTTCATTGAATTTTGTTTTTGCTATTTCAAGCTATGCAAATGTACTTGATGCTGATGCTTGCACTTGAAATTAGCAACAAAATCATCATAATTAAGTTCTCATTTTATTAGCAACGTTGAGTCATTCACTATGTTGAAGTTACTATGAATTTTACAGCTTCTAATGCAATGATTATGTTTTTATGGATGCAAACTTGATGGCAAACAGATAAAATGGTAATTTTGTGCTCATTATGCAACAGAGTGGCAATGACATTGAAAGCTTCAAAAATTCATGTTTAGAATAATAAACTACTGACAGAAAATCAGAAGGTCATAACATCCCTATATAATATCAAGTTGCTCTGTCATCAATTTAATCAGCAAGCTTTAAACTTTCTCATTAAATATTTCATTCACATTCTACAATGTTCACATTTCCCAAAAGTCGTCAACAAGCAGTCTCACAATGTCAAATCAATTTACTTAATCGTCATGTCATCACTGTCAGAAAAGTGTTTGAAATAAGTTAAATGTATATCGCATGTGACACAAGAGAATTTTCAACTTTTTGTTCCTTTTTTGGATGATTTTTGTTTTGTTGTGATGAAAAAAGAAAAGTTTTCTTCGTTATGTTTAGTATTCTTTTGCTTTATTATTATGTTCATGAAAGGAACGAGGATGTTTTGAGGAAAGGAAAATTGTTGTTTTATGAAACAAGAGTTTTGAATTATTTTGAAAATTGTTAAAGCTTTCTTAAAGCAATTTTGATGTTTTCTGAAAACATTCGCGAAATTTACAATGTTTCTGTTAGAATTGTTAATGTTTTGATGAGCTTTACTAATGTTTTAGTGAACATTCTAAATGTTTTCTTTGCAAATCGAATGTTTTCATTAAAAATCGAATGTTTTCATTGCAAATCGAATGTTTCACTGGAAAATGTCTTGTCATAAGGACTACAAAGTTCAGTTTGTGTATGAAAAATCCTCAGTTTTCCATAAAACTTTACCGCGTCAACATCGATAAGAATTTTTGTCATATACTTTAGTTTTCACTTTTCCTTTCCTTTCACAACAATAAAGCACAAACAATTTATTTTTATTCTCTTGTATCACTGAATATAAATTGCTTAAAAATAAATAAATACATTCATAAAAACGGAAATTTATTCTCAATAGTGCTAAAGTGAAGTGAAAGTATACTTTTTGATGAGGGCAAGAAGATAGATAACCTAACATAAAAGAGAAAGAACAATAAAAAAAGAGAAGAGATTTGTGTTGTTATTTGAAATACAATTCGGACGAAAATAAAAAAGAGGATAGAAAAGAAAGCATCAATGATAGCAAGGACTTTTTAATTGAAGGATTTTGGTGTATTCTACAGAAGAAGAATATTGCGCAGTGAGTGTCGAGTGATAACGGTAAAAGATAATAAATGTTAACGACAAATTGTGATTGGGGATGAGTAAAGAACTCAATATTCATCGACAAACAATGAAGTAATGGAAGATCTCGGCATTCTTAATTTAATTTTCATGTCCGTTGTGATTTATTAAATTAATTTCTTCATCCGCTTGCTCAAAATAAACAAATCAATGATTTATCT